CCTCCTCCTCACACCTCCTCCTCCTCACACCTCCTCCTCCTCCTCACACCTCCTCCTCCTCACACCTCCTCCTCCTCCTCACACCTCCTCCTCCTCCTCACACCTCCTCCTCCTCACAACTCCTCCTCCTCACACCTCCTCCTCACACCTCCTCCTCCTCACACCTCCTCCTCACACCTCCTCCTCCTCACACCTCCTCCTCCTCACACCTCCTCCTCCTCCTCACTCCTCCTCCTCCTCACACCTCCTCGTCTTCACACCTCCTCCTCCTCCTCACACCTCCTCCTCCTCACACACCTCCTCCTCACACCTCCTCCTCACACCTCCTCCTCCTCACACCTCCTCCTCACACCTCCTCCTCCTCACACCTCCTCCTCCTCACACCTCCTCCTCCTCCTCACACCTCCTCCTCCTCACACCTCCTCCTCCTCACTCCTCCTCCTCCTCACACCTCCTCCTCCTCACACCTCCTCCTCCTCACACCTCCTCCTCCTCACACCTCCTCCTCCTCCTCACACCTCCTCACACCTCCTCCTCCTCACACCTCCTCCTCCTCACACCTCCTCCTCCTCACACCTCCTCCTCCTCACACCTCCTCCTCCTCCTCACTCCTCCTCCTCCTCACACCTCCTCGTCTTCACACCTCCTCCTCCTCCTCACACCTCCTCCTCCTCACACCTCCTCCTCCTCACACCTCCTCCTCCTCACTCCTCCTCCTCCTCACTCCTCCTCCTCCTCACACCTCCTCCTCCTCACACCTCCTCCTCCTCCTCACACCTCCTCACACCTCCTCCTCCTCCTCACACCTCCTCCTCCTCACACCTCCTCCTCCTCACACCTCCTCCTCCTCACACCTCCTCCTCCTCACACCTCCTCCTCCTCACTCCTCCTCCTCCTCACACCTCCTCCTCCTCACACCTCCTCCTCCTCACACCTCCTCCTCCTCACACCTCCTCCTCCTCACACCTCCTCCTCCTCACACCTCCTCCTCCTCACACCTCCTCCTCACACCTCCTCCTCCTCACACCTCCTCCTCCTCACACCTCCTCCTCCTCACACCTCCTCCTCCTCACACCTCCTCCTCCTCACACCTCCTCCTCACACCTCCTCCTCCTCACACCTCCTCCTCCTCACACCTCCTCCTCCTCACACCTCCTCCACCTCCTCACACCTCCTCCTCACACCTCCTCCTCCTCACACCTCCTCCTCCTCCTCCTCCTCACACCTCCTCCTCCTCACACCTCCTCCTCCTCACACCTCCTCCTCCTCACACCTCCTCCTCCTCCTCACACCTCCTCCTCCTCACACCTCCTCCTCCTCCTCACACCTCCTCCTCACACCTCCTCCTCCTCACACCTCCTCCTCCTCACACCTCCTCCTCCTCACACCTCCTCCTCCTCACACCTCCTCCTCCTCACACCTCCTCCTCCTCCTCACACCTCCTCCTCCTCACTCCTCCTCCTCCTCACTCCTCCTCCTCCTCCTCATACCTCCTAATGCTTTCTAAACAGTCCCACCATCTGGTGACCAAGTGTTTAAACATATGAGTCATTCTTATTCAAATCACCACATTCCACCCCCTTGACACTCACTGGCTTGTAGCCATATCTTAATACAAAATGCATTTAGTCCAATTACAAAAAAGTCTCTGGGTTGGGGATTTAGCTCAGTGGTAGAGCGCTTGCCTAGCAAGCTCAAAAAAAAAGTGTCCATAGTCATCACAATCTCAACACTGAAAATTCAAAGTCCAAGCCTCTTCTGAGACTCAAGGCAATTTCTTGGTTGTAAGCCCTTTAAAGTCAAGAAGTAATTATAAACTTCCAACACACAATTGTAGTGGTATGTGCCCCGCCCATGGTCTTGGGCTATATGGAAGGAGGCCTGAAGGAGGCGGTGCTTCTTGTCTTCATACATGACCTCTTAAAAGGAAAGGGAGGGGGTCACATGTTCTCTCCTTTTCTTCTTTTTCATTTTCACCCTGGCATGATCAGACACGGGCCAGCCTGGGAGTTGAACCCATGCTCTTAACCACTGAGCCATTTCTAATTCCCAGGAATACATGACCCCTCTCCCTTTCCTTTTAAGAGGTCATGTAAGAAGGCAAGAAGCACCGCCTCCTTCAGGCCTCCTTTCATATAGCCCATGGTCATGGGCAGGGCACATACCACTACAATACAATGGCACAGAATATACGTTCATTCCAAAAGGGAGGAATGGGGGCATAGTAAGGAAATACAGGACCAAAGCAGGACTGAAATCCAGAAGGGTAAACTCCAAATCCTGTAGTTTCATGTGCAATGTCAAAGGGCTTAGATGGCCCTGCTTTTCAACACACAAAACACTTCTCTATCTTTGTTTTGTTTTGTTTTTGTTGTTGTTGTTGCTGTTGTTGGTGGTGGTTGTTTGTTTTTTGAGACAGGGTTTCTCTGTGTAACAGCTCTAGCTGTCCTGGAACTTGCTTTGTAGACCAGGCTGGCCTCGAACTCACAGAGATCTACCTGCCTGTGCCTCCTGAGTGCTGGGATTAAAGGGATGAGCCACTACACCTGGCTACACTTCTCTATCTTGAGCTGGTTCCACTCCTTGTGTGCAGATCTCCATAATAAATGTCTCACAGCTCTGGCATCTCTAGCATCTGAGGGTCTCAAACATAACCAGGCTTCACTTCTCCAGCTTTATAAATGGCCTCTTAGGGTCTCTTGTCCTCTCAAGGACTTCACACAGGGACTTCCCTACCACACAATACCTGGCCTCAGCAGCTCTCTGAAACCATGAAGAAAGAGTCCATGACCCCTATACTCTTGAATCCTCGCCACATGATGACATAGTCAGCTTGGGATGGATCCTCACCCCACATTAACATCAACCTTTGTTTGCAGTTGTAGTTTAGGATCAGAAAAGTCCTTAGGTCTTTTCCTTCCCCAGGTTGGAGGCTTGGCCAAGTGGGGTCTTTCCCTGAGGGCAGCCTTCCCTCAGTGCAGATCAGGCCTCTCCTCCTTTTTCTTATCTCATTTAGCACAAGCATTGGCTGGAACATAAAGCTTCCTGGTGCTCTTTTCTTCTCTAAATTGTACATTTTTTTCTGCCTCATTGATCTTTTTCATTGTAAACAATAAGACTGATCACTGATAACCACATAACAGAATCAATATTAGGCTATCTTGAAAATTCTTCTGCCAAATAATTTAGTCTTTTTCTTTTAAACTTAGTCTCAGGCAAGTTCTTAGGACAAGGACAAAAAGCAGTCACAATTTTTGTTGAAGTATCACAAGAATCATCTCTAGCCCAGTTTCAAGTATCGTTCCTTCTGAAGCCTTTTGACCTGGGCCTCCTCAGCCCACATAGCTCTCAGCACTATTGTTTTCCAAGACCCTGCTAGGATTTTACTGTGTTCAAACACTTTCCTAATCCTAAATTCCGAAGTCTCCCATGTTCCTCCAAAACACAGCATGGTCAGATCTACCACCACAACACCCCACTCCTGGTACCGACTTCTGTCTTACTTTTCTATTGCTGTGATCAGACACCATGACCACGGCAATTTATAGAAGGAAGGGTTTATTGAGCTTACAGGTCCAGAGGGATAAAAGCCCATCATGCTAAAGAAGCTGGCAGCAAGCAAGCATGGTGACTGCAGCAGAAAGCTGAGGGCTCCCATCTTAAACTGCAATAGGTAAGTCTGGCCACTGTGAAAAGCAACGTGAACACTTCTAAAAACTTAAACTAGAACTTTCACATGATCTAGGTATATGCCCCCAAGAACCACAGCTTACTTAGAAGTGCCACCACACTAGCACACTCTGCTCATTACACAGTCACAACAGCAAAGTCATGGAATCAGCCTGAGAGTCCATCAACATGAATAAAGCAAACGTAGTATGTAAACTTCACCGAGTATTGTTTAGTCATAAAAAAGAATTAAATTGTCATTTTCAGGAAGACAGCTGGAACTGGAGATCACCATGTTAAGCAAAATAAGCCAAATGGAAAGATAATTATCACGTTTTTGTCTCTATGTGTAGAAGAAGAAAGGGGAGATAAAGAACATGAAAGCAAAGGGATATGTGAGGGCCTGAGGAGGATCATTTACAGGGAGTGAGTGTGAGCCAACTACATTACGTACAAGTATGAAAATGAAGAACAAACCCCATCTTGTATGCCAACTTAAAATAAAAACACACTTGGAAAATAACTGTTTAGCTCATTTAACTCATTGTGCTGGCTAGTTTTGTGTCAATTTGCCATCTGATAGAGTCATCTGAGAGGAGAGAACCTCTACTGAGATCTGCAGGCAAGCCTGTGGGGCATTTTCTTAATTAGTGATTGATGGGGGAGGGCCCAGACCATGGGGGTGGTGCCATCCCTGGGCTGGTGGTCCTGGGTTCTATAAGAAAGCAGGCTGAGCAAGCCATGATGAACAAACCAGTAAGCAGACCCCTCCAAGGCCTCTGCATCAGCTCCTGCCTCCAGGTTCCTGTCCTGTTTGAGCTCCTGTCCTGATGTCCTTCAGAGATGAACTATGATGTAGAAGTATAAGCCAAATCAGCCCTTTCCCCCCGAGATTATTTTGGTCATTGGTATTTCATCACAGCAATAGTAACCCTAACTAGGACACTAATGCTATTTCTAGAGTATTTTTAAAGCAAAATTCAGACCCTTATGTGTCATTTATGTCTGTTTCTAAGAACAACTCCCAGTCTCTGAGGTGACTTTCTCTCTGGAAGCTTGTTCCATACTGTTGGGGCAAAGTAATCCATTGATTTTGTAGTGTAAATGTGAGATGGTGGAGTCAGGACCAGTGATTCGGTCACGGTTGTAAAGAAGAATAAGTAAGTCTGGAAGGAGTGAAATCCTGGAGCAGGGCACCTTGGTTAATTGGGTTTCTGATTAACTATGGGTTAATGAGAAGACACTTTTTGTCTGGAATCTCTCTAAATCGCCCCAGTCCATTGCCTAGCTGTAATAAGTAGCCTAATGAACATAATTAAATCTCCTCTTACCGATTCAGCATCCTGCAGAGTGTCGGGATCATCGCTCTGAACACAATATGTAATTCAGTCCTGCACTGAGCTGCAAAAGGTACACATATCCTTACTTAAAAATGTAAACACAGGCTGGGGATGTGGCTCAGTTACAGAACACTTGCCGGGCAGGCACAGCATGGCATAAGTAAACAAATATTAGATTAATGAATCTATGGGATTTATGTCTCTCAATGTATGTAAATTTACCATAGATAAACAAATAATTGCCTGTTATATATCCTGGAATAGCAGACCAATCCTTCATTCTACTGGGACTACTTTCAAATTCATGAAATTTAACACCATTGCATAAAAACAAAACAAACAAACAAAAAACCTAGGGCCAAAAATAGCAAAGGGAAATCTTTACAGCCAGAGCTAAATGCAATCTGCTAACTGAAGAAAACCCAGAAGTCCTGTAGCCGTGTTGGGCTGCACTGTCCATTGGTATAAGATTTTGTTCATTCTCGCCCCCCACCCGCCAACACACACACAAAGTGGAATCTTTCTCAAAATGGATTATTTAAGAATGAATGTAAATCCCACTAAAACGTCAGCTCTATGGGGCAGGGGCATGTGTCTATTTCATCTACTGATATATTCTTGGAACCTGGAATGCCTGACGCTTAGAAAACCCCCAGTAAATGCTATTGCTGCCTGGGGGACCAGCCTCCAGCAGCACAGGGCTCAAAGGGAATCCACGGAGTCGGAGAGTCCTCTGACTTTTTTATCTGAGGGGGTAAGGGAAAAAACACTCACTCTCGTGGTTTCCTTCTTTATTCTTCTGTATTCTTCTCTTGTGTTCTATATTCTCTTTTCTTATCTCCATCTAAAAATGTCCCTTCTGTCTCTCTTGATGTTTTCCTCCTAATTCTCTCATTCTTGATGTTTCCCTTCTAACTCCTTCTAACTGTATTCTTTCCCTTAGAGCTTATATGCCCCAGCAAAATCTTTCAGGCAATATAAAAATTACAATGTGGTTATATTCTATTTTTCAAGCGAATGATTACAATGAATACAAGTAAAGAACAGCATGTTTTCCATACCCTTTACATGATTAAACATTTTATGTACTACAGGTGAAAAACAAATTATCCCAAGAACTCACATACGTTCATACCCAAGCAACTTGTTATAGATTGACAGTGCAGGCAAGCAAGGTATTCTTTTACTCTCAGGCTGTGTTTTGTGGCTACAAAGATAGAACCAATCATTTTATTATTTATCTCAAAAGGTCATCTTGTCAGAAATCTTAAAAGAACCATAAATCTAAACTTTTCTATATGAAAAAGAAACAGTCAACTCTACTTCAAATCTTTAGGGTACATACTCATCAATAGTTTTTTTGTTTTGTTTTGTTTTGTTTTGTTTTTCGAGACAGGGTTTCTCTGTGTAGCTTTGCGCCTTTCCTGGAACTCACTTGGTAGCCCAGGCTGGCCTCGAACTCACAGAGATCCGCCTGGCTCTGCCTCCCGAGTGCTGGGATTAAAGGCGTGCGCCACCACCGCCCGGCTCATCAATAGTTTTTTATATCAGGAGTTTGAGGGCAAAAATGGGCACAAGGAATTAATCTTCACCTTTGGTCATCAACCAATCCTAGCAAGAAAGGCATGTCAGCTAATGATAATTGGGTTGCTTTGCTCTTGTTCTTGACTTTAGTGAGTTCCTCATTTAACTGTGTGCCTTTCTAAAACTTTAGACTTCTTGGATTTTTCACCTCAAAGCTATTTGACAAAAAAATCTTAGTCTAACTTTAAGTTATTTTCAAAGCTTTGTTTCAGCTATGATGCACTCTGAAACCTGTGAACATACCTCCCAACATTAAGATTAGAAGAATTTAAGCTGGGCGGTGGTGGCGCACGCCTTTAATCCCAGCACTCGGGAGGCAGAGCCAGGCGGATCTCTGTGAGTTCGAGGCCAGCCTGGTCTCCAAAGCGAGTTCCAGGATAAGGCGCAAAGCTACACAGAGAAACCCTGTCTCGAAAACCAAAAAAAAAAAAAAAAAAAAAGATTAGAAGAATTTAAACTAGCTGGGCTAATGGGACTCAGTTGTTTTTCTTAATATTAAACTAAGCCACAGTCTATCCAGCGCCTCAATAGAAACACATATGTTCTAGCTGTGTGGCAGTTCCTTGTTTTATTTTTTACCATCAAAACTCTATTTAAACTCACATTATAAGCTGGGCAGTGGTGGCATACTCCTTTAATCCCAGCACTCAGGAGGCAGAGGCAGGAGAACCTCTGTGAGTTCAAGGCCAGCTGGCCTACAGAGTGAGTTCCAGGAAAGGTGCAAAACTATACAGAGAACCTCTCTAGCACTTTGCTTCTTCCCATTCTCATGTGGTCTTCATTTACCATGGTCTCCTATTCCTTGTTCTCCCTCTCTGTTGTTGATCCAGCTGGGATCTCCCGCTCCCCCAAGCTCTCTTTCCCTCGACCCTCGCCCTTCACTACCCCCACTCATGTCCAGGCTGTTCATGTAGATCTCATTCCATTTCTCTGTCATTGGGCGATCCCCGTGTCTTTCTTGAGGTCCTGTTTTCCAGGTAGCCTCCCTGGTGATGTGAGTAGCAGTCCAGTCATCCTTGTTCCACATCTAGTATCCTGCTATGAGTGAGTAGAGAGGCCCACAGAAATCCACAAAGATACCCCCACAGCAGACTGCTGGCAATGGTCGAGAGACAGCCCGAACTGACCTACTCTGGTGATGGGATGGCCAAACACCCTAATTGTCGTGCTAGAAACCCCATCCAACTACTGAGGGATCTGGATGCAGAGATCCATGACTAGGCCCCGGGTGGATCTCTGGGAGTCCAGTTAGTGAGAATGAGGAGGGTTTATGTGAGCAAGAATTGTTGAGACCAAGGTTGGATAAAGCACAGGGACAAATAGCCAAATGAATGGAAACACATGAACTATGAACCAATGGCTGAGGGGTCACCAACTGGATCAGGCCCTCTGAGTGGGTGAGACAGTTGATTGGCTTGATCTGTTTGGGAGGCATCGAGGCAGTAGGACCGGGTCCTGTGCTCTTTGCATGAGTTGGCCGTTTGAAACCTGGGGCCTATGCAGGATTGCTTGGCTCGGCCTGGGAGGAGGGGACTGGACCTACCTGGACTGAGTCTACCAGGTTGATCTCAGTCTGCAGGGAAGGCTTTGCCCTGGAGGAGATGGGAATGGGGGGCAAGCTGGGGGGAAGGTGAGGGGGGCGGGAGTGGGGAGAACAAGGGAATCCGTGGCTGATATGTGGAACTGTATTGTATTGCAAAAAAAAAAAAAAAAAAAAAAAAAAAAAAAAAACTATACAGAGAAACCCTGTCTTAAAAAACCAAAACAAATAAATAAATAAATAAATTAATTAATTAAAAAACCCAAACCAAAACAAAACAACAAAACCTCACATTACTATCGATTAAACAGCACAGCTTAGGAAGAAATCACCTTCATAGTAATCCACAGGAAAAAATGCCCAGTAGAACAGAATGTATCCATGAGATAAACACACTACATTACAGGCAGTGGGGATCTCCCCACACCCATTCATACCATGCCAGATACCAGAGAAAGATGTCAGCAGCAACATGTAAAGGCACAGCAGAAGCAAAAGACATTCTGGAGTCTGTGGTCTCAGGGCCTTGCCTATGCAAGACTGATCTATCAGGAATTCACTTCCTGGTGGACTGACACCCTGAAGTCAACTGCCATCTGCTTGCTGCTCCTCTGACATGACCACTGGATAAATGCTAAGTGTATGAAAGAATAAAATGGAGATGAGATGCTTATTATGTACAAGGTAATGACTTTGGAGCATGTAGCAAATAAAACCCATGGCCTGTGTTTTACAACATCCAGCTCTACATTAACCTATTGGACACTCATTAGGATTGATGCTACATGGATACAAATTAATGTGTGGGCTGGGAATACAGCTCAGTGGTAGAGCACTTGTCTAGCACACGCCAGGCCCTAAGTTCACGTCCCAGCATTGAGAAGAAAGCAATCTCTCTCTTTCTCTCTCTCCTCTCTTTCTCTCTCTGTCTCTGTCTCTGTCTCTGTCTCTGTCTCTCTCTCTCTCTCTCTCTCTCTCTCTCTCTCTTCCTGTCTTAGGATTTTTATTGCTGTGAAAAGACACCATGATCATAGCAACTCTTATAAAGAAAACATTTAATTGGAGTGGCTTGCTTATAGTTTCAGAGGTTCAGTCCATTATCATCATGGTGGGGAGCATGGCAGTGTATAGGCAGACGTGGTGCTGGCTAAGTAGCTCAGAGTCCTGTATCTTGCAGGCAACAAGAAGTTGACTGACATACTGGGCAGTACCCTAAGCATAGGAAACCTCAAAGCCTGCCCCACAGTGACACACTAACAAGACCATACCGACTGCAACAAAGCCACACCTTCTAATAGTGCCACTCTCTGTGAGATTATGCGGGTCAATTACATTCAAACTACCACACACCCCTAAACTAAAATCAGCTCAAACTCTGAGAACAGAATTATAAGAGGAAAGAGAAAGACACTAAATAAGTGCTTTGGTAAAACATCTTAAACTTTTGTCTCCTTTGACTATGCGTGCTGGACTCAGACACCACATGGTTTTAATTAGGAGCCTGGATAGTAAACTGTAAAGGCTCTTTACCGAGGCTGGGCACAGAGGTGCTCGTATATTATCCCAGCATGCTGGAGACTAAGGCAAGAACAAGTTTGAGACTGTCTACAAACAAACAACAAGGAACCAAGAATGACAAAGTCACTCTGATGACATTCACAAGAATTCAGTGGACAGGCAATGCCAAAATTCAGTTTATAAAGTTGTTTCTCAATATACCGTCTTCAGAATTAACACACAGTCCTTCAATCAGGCCAACAGAGCCATCAAAACATGAAACAGAAAATGCTGATGCTGTGCCAGGTGCTTATTATCAGTCGTGCCCTTGACTCTCAGGGGTGGCGAGTGTGCTTAGAGCGCCTCCATCTGAGGAAACACCTCAGACACAAACAAAGGAGG